AAGAGAGTGAACATTTTTTTTTAATTCTAATTCCAATCGGCTGAAATAATTTTCTTTATTATTATTATTATTATTATTATTTCTCGTCTCCTAAATATAAATAGCATTATTCAATTGTCTATGAAATTTCTTCCTCCAGTTTTTACAATTCTAAACTATAAACAATCTCCTGTTATTTTTCTCCAGTGTTGAAATGATCATAACAACTATAATAATTTTAATAATATCAATAATAATTATTATTATAATACTAATAATAAATCATTAATCTTATTATTATTAGTGTCATCACTCATTCTTAAGTCTTAACTATTAAAATTATTTCTAGATTTACATAAACTCTAAGCTTGACTCTTTACTGTATTTTGCATTAGTAATAATATAGTCAGTTCCCGAGCTCATATAGCATTGTTTTTAATAGAAAATGCTATTCGCGTAACTCTGATTTAACTAATTGACAATTTAAGGACTTCTTAAGTGTTAGAGTATTTCTTGATACACTGCTAACATCATATTGCACTTAAAAATTCTTATAATTAAAATTCTCAAGTTATTTATGAATTGAAATTTCTTCAGCTTTAAATTGCGGTGAGAATTATCAACCGATTTATTTTCTTCTCTTATAAACGTTTATCGTAACTAGGCCAAAAGCTTCTTATGCATTTACTTTTTGTTTAATTCGTGTGGGTTGACGTGTGAGTGATTTATAGTGAGACAAATTTTGAGTTGACGAATTTTCACCATCAACATATTATAAGTTATGGACTTATATATTCTTATGAATTTATCCACGTAATTATAAAAAATCCTTCGTTAATTCTACTTATTGATTATTGGATTTTTCCAATCATTATAAATGTGCTACTTTTCACGTTTGTTGATGATTTTGCTGACGCGGTAACCTAACCCCCCACCCCCATTAAAATAGAGTTTGAAAATTGATAATCTAGTAACAGAAATTGAAAGTTACCCTTTCACAATTTTAGACATTTGAGCGTCAGTATAATCCTTTTTTTTTTTTTTTTTTTTTTTTACATTTTTTCCCCTCAAAATGATTGTATCATGGGTTTATTAAGTTGGAAAAAAGAGAGAGTAAAAAAAAGCCGCCAACGCCACTTATCATTTGGGTTTCCTCATTGCTTTTAAAAATCGACGCGTAAAGCTACAACATCAACCATAACCAATATCGAATCCCTTCTTACAACATCTGGGGATTCAATGTTGGTTTTTGATCGACTTAGGCTTTTAGCTGATGTGAAAGGTCTTCCATTTTGCAGTATGACATGATATTATGTGTACGTATTAAATATATTATTTTATACTTTTTTATGCTATATATAAGATCTATGTTAACATTTACATTAAAACTAGTGTATTGTATTTAAACTTATTTACCGGCCTATATCGTCTCGCAATAATCTGCCACTTCACGAATCATGATTCGGAGACATTTAATAAGGAAATTTATACTATAATTTGAATCATGGTTTATGATTCATTATAGTATTTTCTCTCATAAAAAATACACGTAAATAAAAAATAATTCTAATATCATGATTCTAATCCATAAATCAAATGTCTCCGAAGTTTAATAACAATATTATTATCGTGCTCCTTGTGTATTGTCAAAAGACTTGATTAGATGAATTAATGATTTTTTTTTTCTAAATAGAAGGTAAGATGGGAATGTCATCGCTAGAGAATAATTGAAGAAATGAAGAGAGTTTCAAGCATTAAGTAATATTTTACTTGGAGCTCTTTAGTGAACTACAAATACAATATTCCAAGGCGGACACTTTCATGCTTTGAAAAGGAAAAGAAATATACTCTTTGAGGATTTAAAAAAAAAAAAAAATAAAAGGTTATTTTTCAATTGAAAAAAAGACAAAAGCTTCTAGAATTTAATGATGATCCTTGAGGGAATGCATGCTTATTTATTATAACGATGGCTAAGAACGAAATTAGTGGTTCAACTTTCAACGGCGCTGAAATGTTCTTCAACGGTTAACCATGGTAATTCTCTCTGTTTCTCTCTCTTTTTAGACAGACTGTTCTCAGCATAATAGGACTTTTTAATCAATTATAATAGTAATTTTGATTGAGATCCTAAAAAAACAAAACATAAAGTTATTTCATGGTAACTAATCATTGAATCCAATACATACCATAGTCAGTGCAAGGGAAAATTAGAAAAATACCTTTAAAAAGTGTGGGTTTACATTTTTATCCATCACTCTTAGGGCCTGTTCAGTTCGTTTATTCGAGTTTTTAATTCGAATTGAGATATGACTTTACGTGAGAGCTTTTTACTATAACAAAAAAGTTAGATATGACTGTTTCTGTGAGCATTAACCGTAGCAAAACTCGAATTTTAAACTCGAATCGATAAAATGAACGAGACCTTAATTAACATTATTTATAGTCAAATAATTATATTAGTCAAAAGGATATTAATTAGAATAAGGATCAAAATTCATATTCATGCATTATAAAAGTAAGTTCAATATTGTTTTTCTTAGTTTTTGCAAAAATAGGCAATTTTACTTTTTTAGTAATAATTTCGATTGTGGCTGCAGACGTAGTATAACGATAATTTTGTAGCAAAACTCGAATTTTAAACTCGAATCGATAAAATGAACGGGACCTTAATTAACATTATTTATAGTCAAATAATTATATTAGTCAAAAAGATATTAATTAGAATAAGGATAAAAATTCATATTCATGCATTATAAAAGTAAGTTCAATATTGTTTTTCTTAGTTTTTGCAAAAATAGGCAATTTTACTATTTTAGTAATAATTTCGATTGTGGCTGCAGACGTAGTATAACGATAATTTTGTATCTCACTCCATTACAAATTGTAGAATTCAAATCTCCTCACTCTTAAGTAAAAAAATAAATTTGTGATCTAAAAAAAAATAATTTGACTTCATATCTCAAATATGTTCACAAGAGTTCCTTTTAGAAGTCATATTTGGTGGTTTTGAGTGCAAGTTCTTTTAGAGAACAATTCTGATAGATCTTTTAAACATTTTTATAGAAACAGTTTTAGGATTCAGGAAACTAAAAACAAATTTAGAAAACTCTACTAAACAGGTCTATAGTGATTTCTGGACTGCTGTCGTTTTCTATACTTTCGTCTACTTCAAATTCAGTGCCATTTTCTATAATGTCGTCGTTTATCATTTATTGATGCTTGCGAGAGACGTTGTCGTTCTCAATCTTCTTGTTGCTTAAACGTTTTATCATTTATCTTTGTCGTTTTCAGGAACAATTTTCGTTTTATGATATGTTGTCGTGCATGAAGTCGTTATTTACTTGTTTTACGGCATGCTACTTTCTTGTTGTTTTCCGTCGTTCATCTTTTTAGAAAATTCATTAATTGTTAATTATTAATGTGGTTTTCTAGAGACGTGGTTCTTTTGCCAGAAACGCGTCGCTGATGAAAAATTTTTTGTCATATCAAAGGCACGTATTTTCGTTTTTAAGGTTATTGTGGTATTCTACAATTGTCCTTAGATCTACTGTATATTGTCGTTTTTAATCCTTTTGTCGTCGATTCGGCTATTGCTTGTCGATTTCTGTGTTTTTGTGATTTTAAAATTTCCGTCAGAGTGTTGCGGTTTTCACTTATTTTGTCGTTTGTAAGAAATGTTGTCGTTTGTAAAGTCACCCATTCGTGAATGTTCTCTTCACCCTTGAATCAATATCAACGGAAAAAAAAGAAGAATTTATAGGTAAATACGATATCTTTAATATTTGTAGAACAAAAATAAACGACAGATATTTTAGGAAAAAATAGTAAATTAGTGATTTCTGTACTTTTTGCGAAAAAATCAAGGTAAAAGAAACACAATGATTACAGACATAAATATTAGTTTTACAACTAATTTGTAGAATTTGAATCCCCACTAAGTTAAAGAAAATAAACATGCCTTATATATTTATATATGTTGATTATTTCGGAGTTTTGATTTTCGTTTGCAAATTTAGTTTGTTTTCATGAAATGAAATATTAATGCTGAATCTATTTTTTTTTTTTTAAAATTATAAACTGCTTAATGTATAAATGGATGAGGAAAAACGAAATACCACTTAAAAATTAAAATGATAAAAAAGTATTTTTTATATCACTTAAAAAAATGAACAATTACCACTCAAAAATTAAGATGATAAAAAATATTTTTTATTTCACTTTAAAAAATGAACAATTACCATTCAAAAATAATATAAAATAAATAACCATAATAATACTTAATTTTTAAAATGACGTAAATAACAGCGGTCTCCATACGACGTAGTAAAGGTAAATATTGAGGGAGGTGGCCTTTTATTGGGAAGCATACCAGGCCTGGTCTACCCGATAATAAGATCTCAATTGGGCCTAGCAGACTAAGATGCCATTGGGCCTTCAACCCCATCCACCAGGCCGAAAAGTTCAGAGTCGGACTTCGCAATCGGCAAACCCCCCCCACCCCCCTTCTCTATGCCAAAACTCCATTTCTGCGAGTACAGAAAGATGGCGTTTTGGTGCAGAATCGGAAAATCCAAGCTTAAGCAACTCTCCCACCAATTCAAGACCATTCCCCATGGTTCCTTGCTCAACCCAACGTTTTCACATTCCAAAGCACGTCTCTCGCAGAATCCCGATTTCTTCATTCATAGTAAACCCACTGATTTCTGCTCAAACGTCAGATTTTTCGCTGCTCCAGTTCAGGTAATGATTTTCTTTTTTCGAGTTTTCCTATAATTCGATACTAGGTAGCTACTGATCTTTGAAACGCTGTTGTTGAGGAAATGAAATTCAATTCGCTTGGCTTGTAAATTTTCTGACTTTTGTTTTCGATTTTCGCTTCAAATTCTAAAGCTTTCAAGTGGTTTAACAATGGCTTTGGTGGTGCCCGGTGTTGGGTGATGTGTAGTTTCAGAAGCAAAAGAAGGAAGATAAGGAGACGAGCGGACCTCGAATAAATGAGAAAATCACAGCTGATGTTGTTAGGCTTGTGATGGACAATGGTATAATAAACACACACACACACACACATATATATATACTAAAAAATCTATCTGTTACTTGTAGCATATTCTGATTTATCCATACACGTCAGTGATTCATGATTTATTTATTTATTTTTTTAAAGATTTTTTGAATGACATTTACAGAGCATACAATTGTTTCAAGGCGTGAAGCTCTGGCACGTGCAAGGCAACTCAATCTTGATTTAGTTGAGGTATACCTGATCTATATGCTTCAATTCTTCTAATCAGATTCTTTTTTAAAAAAAATAATTTTTCTGGTTCTGAATTATTATTAATATACCATAATTCTGAATTCTTGTTAATATACCATAATTACTTATGATCAAATAAATTTTTCTCCTTCTATTTTACAGGTCTCAGGGAAGGCTAATCCGCCCGTCTGTAAAATAATGGACTTCAATAAAGAGATGTACCAGAAAGAAGTACGGGACAAGGAGCGTGCTAAAGCCAAGGTAAGCTATTATGTGGCCATAGGTGATTTTGCATTTGTGTCCAAAAAAAAAAAAGTAATGTGCTTTAATCAGAGACATCGGGCATAATCTATTTTGAGTTTTCCTAGCATTTGCATGCTTGGTGAGGATGGTTGATGGATCATATATATAGTACTTTTGGTTTGTTCTTTTGTAGTTTGTATTATCCAGCTAAATCGGTTTTATTTGCGAGTAAACTATATGAGCTTCATGGATTTATACTCTGTTCAATAATTATATTTCTTGTTGGCTTTCCTGCTGTGGTGATGATATTTTTAATAGCTTTAGCTGCGTACAGGCCGACTCAACTTTGCGAGTAGGAACTCCTAAAGAAGTTAGGTTTAGTGGGAAAACTGTGAGTACTTTCTTTTGCACTCTGCTCTTAGTTTCTTCCCACTTTTTTCTGACCAAATGTTGAATTATTGATGCATCTTCAAGTTTGTCTCATTCAGGAACAAAAGGACCTTCAGATGAAAGCAGACAAGGTGATGGCATTGATGGTGGACGGTTATAAAGTGAAGGTATTCGTATTTCTTTCTTTCTTCCTTTCCCTTCCTTATTTTAATTTTTAGTGGGGTTTTGTCTTAGCATGAGTGTGAGATGGGACTAGCTTCCATTTTTGTAAAATTTTCGAACTTTGCAAATGGAGGTCAGTAAGGCAGGATCATATCCATCATTATATGAAACTCCATTATGTCGTTAAGGTGTGAGATAGTAGAAGTATATGGTTGAGAGTCGTGTTGCTTTAGCCTTTAGTGGCATAATTTTGATCTTGCTGCAGATAATATGCGGAATGTTGTATCTAGTTCTAGTGCATTTTTTTGTGATGAGGATTCTTATGTATACTCTGTCCCGTTGAGTTTAGTTGTTCTTGGGGTGAAGAGGAGAGAGAGATACCATGATTCTACAGGTTTCTACAGTTTATTCATATATTATATGTGTTTATTACCTTTGCAAGCCCCCAAAAGTGAGCTCATTTTGGGTGAATTTGAGGTTGCGTTCCTCCTCTTTCACCCAATGCATGGCAGAATCTCTGCTAAAAAAACAATAGCAATCTCAGTTAGGAAACAATGTGCACTTAGTGTTTGAGAAAACTTATTGAAGAAAAGGAGAGCCAAAAAAAAAAAAGAAAGAAAAAAAAAAGAAAAAAGAAAAGGCCAAGTGAAAAGTTAAATCATAGTCTGAGGTTCTTGTCAGTTATCTGCTGTTTATATTATCTTATGGCGAAGTGGTTGATGGATATATATATATATATATTTTTTTTTTCCTTACACGTTACATCTACAAACTTTTACAATTCTTTGGTTCATTTTATGGCAAAATGATATAATTGGCCGGGTTGAAATTTATTGTTGTCGTCTACTGTTTTTCTATGTATCTTCCAAAATGGTTTTACAGGATTTAACTCCACATGAGGTAATTTTTTTCTTTCCCTTTCTTTTGACAGTGTACTGCTAAGGGTACTGCAGACCATGATGTATTGGCAACACTATCTCGCCTCTGTGCCTTGGTATTATCAGATCTCTACATATGTGAGTCTATTATCTTCAGTTTCTTTCCTCCAAATTTCTTATTAGGATAATTTCTAGCAGATTCAAGATGTAGCTGTTGTTGAGAGTGGACCTACGTTAGGGATAGATAGTGCCTTTCTGATAGTTAGGCACATTAAGTTCGGCGCATTAAAGAAAGGTGGTGGCAAAATAAAGGATCTGGCAGATGCAAACCCTGAGGTTCTTAAGGCAATCTCCACTACGGCAGCTGCTGCAGAACCTAGCTTGGAAACCGATGGAGGGAGTTCTTTTGATGAAGTTAACCAAGCTAGTCCCTCTGATTCAGATATTTGTGGTTCGGACAAACTGGAGACTTCTGATAGGACTGAAAATAGGTATAAAAAAGGCGGGACAAGAAATAATTCTCCACCAAGTAAAGGCATGGATCACCCAGGTAAAAGAGACTCAACCTGGTCGGAACCCCATTACTCAAATCAAGGAAGGCAATCCCCAAGAGACGTGAAGTTCTCACAGCGAACGAGGGAAAGTGACGAAGCTGCAATCGATGCTCCTCCATTTAGAAACTATAGGCCTCCACTAAATGATGCACCCAGGCGAGAACCATTTAGTCCCGGTGCTCCCAGTACCCCAAGACCTCATTATAGCAATTTTAATGGTTCCACAGCTAATGCTCCTGGAAAACATGGCGTGGAAGCAGGAGTTGGTGAGAACAAGGAACAAAATCGTTACGCTGCGAGGCGTCCTGCCACAAGAGGTGACCTCGCTGCAAATCAGAACTTGCCCAGTTCGAGATCTGATGGAAGCCAGCCAGCCAATGGTAGGAGTAGACAGAGGGGATTCGGGATCTTCAGTAGAGACTAGACAGTCCAATGTGCCTGGGATGAAAAAGTAAACTTAATCGGAATATATTGAACGACTTTGTAACGGCTAATTTATAAATGTGGATACCCTACGGTGCTAATGATTCTAGTCAGGGTGTTTTACAGACGAGATCCCAGTCATATTTTTGTTCGTTTCAGATATGTATTGCCTCAATTTTGACAGGCTGCAGAGAATTTTATTGTCTGTTTGATTCTTTGTAGGCAGTCATGCATTATGATTGGGTCCTGTCAATTCGGAACCAATATTCATGTTGATATTTTTCATAAAAGACATCCACGTTGATTTATTAATTTATTATTGCATGCTTTGACTCTTGTATATTTACTTTAGATAAATTTAGGATCTGTTCACAGAAAATTATACAATGTAATATTATTTATTACTTGTTTTTAAAGGGGGATTTTCATTCAATTACAAAATGTTAGAAATAATGCAAATGCCGCGAATGACTCCAATATGCAAGTTATCTTATTTCTTAGCCTAACAATGACTAGTTCCACCAGTGAGTTTGAATGACGCTCAAGGCATAAAATGTATGTCTTATGGTTCTTTAAACAATACTTCTATAATCGATGAAAATTTTCGATTGAAACAAATCTAGCAATACACATACACTCACGCCGCTGATAACAACTCGAATGCGTTGGACCGATAGACAAGATCCGAAGGTAAGTTCTAAAAAAATGTCACAACTACTAAAAGGAAACGCAACCTAAAACATTTAGGGTTCATTTGCTTCATACGTAATACGTTTAAACATATGGTTTTGAATATGCTATAGTGTTTTTCTCTCACAAAAAAATTAAATTTCAAATGCCAAAATAAAAAATCACTGACTTAAACATGTGAACTAAATGGGTCCTTAGACTAATTAAATCAAAGTGACATGAATAAGCAACGCTGCAATGGGGCATAACCTATCACATGGAAAAAAGAAAATAGCAAGGAAACAAATTTGGGAAAGTTAAGCATATAACAAAATTTTACTAATAATATTGAAACATAATAAAAAAATTTAGAATATTTTATAAATAGAAAAAATTAAATTTATTAAAATAATTACTATGTAATTTTGTAGTATAAAACTTGTAATTACTATAATTTTTATATTACTAAAGAATTTTTAATAAATTTCTATCTTCCAACTCACTCTCATAAATGCCAATTCTTTTATAAAAATAGAACCTTCTGAGACAATAATAAAAAGTAATTATAGTAAATAGCATATTCTTAAAATGCTCTTTTTACTTACACCAGATAAATAAATTATTTATCAATAAATATGTATTTACTTCAATTATGTCAAAAACATATATTATTTACTTTTTAAAAAAATTCAAAGCTGTATGTTAGCGGTCTATTTATCTAAATAAAAATAAAGACCATGGTCGAAGCGTTTAAAATTGTGATTTTAATTTTATTATAATATTTTTCTCTAATAAAATTTGTTTTCATAGAAGTTGTATTCATAATTAAAATTACGGATTTAAACACGTGAATTAAACGGACTAAAAGATTAAAAAAAGAGAAAAAAATTATTAAATTACCTTTAGAGTGCATAATCTTTGATTTTTTTCTCTTTACTCTTAAGTTTTAATTTTTTCTCCTTATTCTTAATTAATATCTTTTTGACTAATTAATTATTTCACTAAAAATGACATTAATTAATATCTTTTTGACTAATTAATTATTTCACTAGAAATGACATTAATCAAGACGTATTTGTATTCCTTACTCTGCATTAGACTCATGCGCTCTAATCTAAGAGGTATTTATCTCGTTAAAAAAAAAGAAGATTCAAATCCATGGGCGGGTCGAACAACCCGGCCTACAACGAGTACTTTCTATATCAACCCGAGCCGTCAAATTCACGGCCTTCCGAGCTATGCCCATGCCCATGCCCTAGCTACCGGGACTGAAGACAAGACAACACACAAAAAGTGAACGTGCCCTATAATCTTCTTCCTCTCTGAGGGTTAAGCTCTACTTCGCTCTTTGTCGCCAATTCACTGCTGTTTTTCGCTTTTACTTCTTTTCTGCAGGTAATTTCTCGAGAAAAACACACGCAATTGAATTTTTATTATTTTGTAGAGTAATTTTATTGGGGGTTTTATTCTAGGGTTTTTGGGTTCGGAACTGGATTTGAATTCAAGCTGTTACCCACTTAAGGTTTTCTTAAGTATTTTACTTGTTTGAATTTGGCTTTCTATTTGGAAGGGAAAATTTTGTTTGAATTACTTGAATTCGGTTCTTGATTATTGTTGGCTATCTCAGTTCACAAAGAATGCAAGGTTTTTTTTTCTATCCCTGAAATTTTAATGATATAAACATGTTAGCAATGTAATTTCGGGGAAAAAGTTGTTTGAATTCGGCTTTCCATTTTGAAGGGAAAAATTGAATTTATTGAGTTCGGTTCTTTATTTAGTTCTTTCAGTTCACAAAGAATGCAAGGGTTTTTTTTCCTGAATTCTATATGCTATAGTCATTTTCGGGAAAAAAGAGATATGTGTGTGTGTGTGTCTGTGTGCGTGCGTGTGTGTTGTTAATAAGCAGCTTAAGGCTTAAGTTTGAGGTGTTGTAATAGGCGTTTATGGATTTTGACGAGTACGAGTATCTGGAGAAAGCTGTGGAAAATCCCGAAACCCCAAAGACAAAGGAAACTGCAAATGGTGTTGAGGAGAGTGTAAAATCTGCTGAGAAAGATCGTAGTCGGAGTTCAAAGCACAGAAGTGACGATAAAGATGACGAGAGGGAACGTCACTCAAAGCGTTCAAAATCTGGCGAGGAGTCCCGTGATCGTGATCGGGAAAAAGAAAAGGGATCGTCCGGTCACCGTTCCCAGTCCAGAGATGCAGAAAGAGATAGACACAGGAGTAGTGGGGAGGGCAGAGAAAGGGAGCATAGAGATAAGGATAGGGAGGAGAGGAATGGGAAGGAGAGAGAAAGAGACAGGGACAGAGATAACGATCGAGACAGGGAAAGGAGAGAGCGGGACCGTGAAGGCGACAGAGAAAAGGACAAGGACAAGGAGAGGGAGAGAGAGAGGTCACGTCGGAGCCAGAGTCATTCAGAAAAGCATCAGAGTGAGCGGGATGAAAGGGAGAGGAGTCGTGATAAAGAGTATAGAGAAAGAGATAAGGAGAGGGAGGTGCGGGATCGTGACAGAGAAAGCAGGTATATTTTATAGCTATATTCTTTACTTTTGTTTGTTGTTATATCTTATAGTTATATTCATAACTTTTGTTTGTGGCTGCTTATTTGAAATTACATGGCACATATTTTGGATAGTTTATAGCTATGTCAAACACTACCTTTATTTGATTGATTATATTAACATTTTAGCAATGACTAACTATGTGAACGTAGAAAACTATGTACTTATCTTTTATCAATTGGAATAAGCAAATTGTCCGTTGCTCATGTGACGGTTGAATTTTCTTGATTAATAACTAAGTGGCTAGAATGTATATGCATTTTTGTGAATGATATACGCATCAATTATAGGAGATGTGCTGAATTGTAACAATTATAGGGGCATAAAGTTAATAAGCCACACTATGAAACTTTGGGAGAGAGTTATTGAAAGGAGATTAAGGGCCACAACTACCATCTTAGGTAACCAATTTGGCTTCATGTAAGGCAGCTCAACCACGGAAGCCATTTTCTTCTTAGGATGTTGATGGAAAAGTACAGAGAAGCCAAGACAGACCTACATATGGTCTTTATAGATTTTAAAAAGGCATATGATAGGGTACCGAGAGAAGTTTTATGGTGGGTGCTGGAAAAGAGAGGAGTGCATGTGATGTATATCAAGGTAATTAAGGACATGTACGATGAGGTGGTCACGAGTGTGAGAACTGCTGGAGGCTACACGACAGAGTTTCCCATTTGGATCGGCCTTCATCAAGGATCTGCTCTTAGTCCTTATCTTTTCACTAGTGTGATGGATGAGCTGACAAGAGAAATCCAAGATAGAGTTCCTTAGTGTATGCTTTTTGCGGACGATATAGTTTTAGTTGATGAACATGGGAAAGGAGTTAACCGTAAGTTAGAACTGTGGAGACGGACTCTCGAGACGAAGAGATTTAAGTTAAGTAGGACGAAAACTGAATACATGCATTTTAGGTTTAGTAACTCAAGTAATCAGAGTGATAGAATTTCTTTAGATGGTGTGCTGATAAGCCCCCCGTGCGCTATACTTATGTTCGGAGGAAGCACAAGGGCCTAGCAAATGGAAGGTTGGAGGATGGGGCTGAGTCAGCAAGTAAAGAGAAGGAGAAAGAGGCTGAGTCAGCAATTAGTTAGTTAGTTTGTTAGTCTTTGTGGGATTGGGAATAGTGTGTATAAATAAGTCAAAAGGTAGAGTAAGAGAGCATAGCAGATTTTACTAGACTTTCTGTGGAAGTTATTAGGAGAGTACGGGATCTCTCGAAAATTCCCATACCATTCTTGTAACGGAATCGTCCGCCATTGTTGTTTCTCAATTCCAGCAATACAAATTTCCTTTTCATTAGCTAATTCGAGTGTCAGTTGGTCTAGAGTTTATCATGTGCAGATTGAGGCTTCTAAGAAGTTTAGGTTCCTTGGGTCTATAGTGCAGTACGAAGGAGATATAGAGAGGATATTCAACATAGCATTAAGGCAGGGTGGGTTAAGTGAAAGAATGTTACAAGAGTTTTATGTGATGACAAGATGCCTATTAAGTTGAAAGGAAAGTTCTATGGGACTGCAATCTGCCCAGCTATGTTATATGGTAGTGAATGTTGGGCCATTAAGAGACAACATATATGTAAGATGAGTGTGACAGAAATGCGTATGTTAAGATAGATGAGTGGCCATACGAAAATGGATCGCATAAGGAATGAAGTTATTCGTAGTAAAGTAGGTGTAGCACCAATAGAAGATAAGGTGCGCGAAGGCCGCTTGAGGTGGTACGAGCATGTCCAACGTAGACAGCTAGAAGCACCAGTTCGTGCTTGGGAGGACATTCTTGTACCTCATACTAGGAGAGGGAGAGGTAGACTAAGAATTACGTGGACCGAAGTAGTTAGGAATGACTTTCTAGATCTAGGCCTTCACGAAAATCTAATTTCGAGCATAGCTGCGTGGAAAAGTGAAATTCATATAGCCGACCCCAATTAAGTTGGGATTAAGGCTTGTTGTTGTTGTTGTTGTATATACGCATCAATTAAGTCCTTGGGCAATTTTCAACATGGTCTCATTTTGTGCTTTTTTGGGCATCACCAAGCTTCTTTTTCAATTCTATTTTCTCTCACTCTGTCTTGCTGAATTTAGTTTAGTCATGTTTAGAAGTTGGGTTGACGACAATTTCTTTTTAATGGTTCATTAGCTGGATAGCATACGTTGAGTTTGATTCATGAACTTTCAGTGCTAGTATCTTTTGTCACTTTCTTTTGCATTGAACGTTGAACCTTTCAAAAGGTTACGTTCATGGCAGCAAAATACTGTTTAGGACCTTGAAAGTTCCTTTGGCAAGGATCAATTAGAGCATTCATCCAACCATTTTGGAAGCCTTAGGCACCTTTGATCCGAGCAAACTTAGCTGAAAATTTTCCCCACCATCGTCTTGGATTTCAAGGGAAAAGAACACAGAGTTAAGGCATTTGAGCGACCTGACTTTGAAGATCATTAACTTGTTTCTAGAGTTCTTAATTTTGGAGCTTGAGAGCTATCTTATTTCTTCTCCTTTTTCCTTGTTTAGTTGTGAAATTAAATATCTTTGAGTTTCTTGGTTTAGTTCAGGTTCACCTAAACATTTTATGTTTTGTGCGGTAGCCATTATTGATCAAAATGCGGCCTACATTCATGGGCCCTATTCTTGTAAGGGAGTATAGGCGTTACAGACCGGGTTATCTTTGATGGACTAGTGGTCGTACTTTGCATAGTAGGTGGAGTAGTATGTGTTTTAGGAATTTCTTGAGTAATTTTCAAATTCATGGCAATGATAAAGACTTTGGGTGTGATTTTTCTGTCATCATTTGGGAGATAGTAGGACTAGCACTGTCATTTCTTCCTGTCTTTCAGTAACAACCCTAGAGCCTCGATTGAAATGACTTTTTTGAGATCTTTACTATTTGCCTATCCTTGGAGTTAAGATCCGAGAAATGTTTGTTACATTAAACCTTTTAAGTTCTTTGTTAATAATGGTGATAAGGACCTTGAGAACGTTTTTGGAATTACGCTGGTAAAACAGAATCTTCATGCTAAAGTTTGGTGAGGCGTATGTTATCTTGGATTTAGTAATCAGAAATTCACTTGAACTGGCTTGTGGGAACAATGTTTTCTTCTTTATCTCTAGAATCCTTTAGTCCTGTAAGCTGTTTGTTTGCTTTATTCTTTGGCAGCTCGAGTTCATGCAGGTCCTATGTTGGATGTGGAAGCACATCCATCTTGTAAAAACCACACACTGTGTTTTTGTTTTTTGTTTTGTTTTTTTCTCTTTTCTCTCACATTTTAATTTTCTCCTCCGAGTATAACCCTCGTTTAGTTGATGGGTTTTGTACTATGGTCTGAATCAACTTTCTCGGTAGGCTAACTTAAGGTTCATCAGTTACTGCTATAGTTCTACTATTTGATAGCATAAAATTCTGAATATTAATTAAGACTAGATTCTGGGACTCGCAGATATGCTAGAGCAATCCTCAGGTGGTCTTTCTGGCAATTGGGCCAGGCACAGGAACTCAGGTCATGGGTCTTAAATGATTCTTCCTAAACTTTCCGGAATCTAGTTTAAAAGCTTGCAACAAAAGATTGAGGGTTCACTGTTGGAGATTTTGACCGGTGGTGATGTCATGTTATGCTTTTCGTTATCCTCCGCCTTTGACCTGAGGTTGCTTAATTATAATTTATTCTGTTGCAGAAATGCTGGTGAGGGAGTGATGGGCTTTGCTTAAGAGAAGCATTTCATCTTCTGTTGGGAAAATCAGTGTTCGAGATTGGCCATTATTTTACAGTCTATGCTAAATATAATAATCATTAACTGTTTGCTGCATTCAGTTTAAGGTTAGGGGTCGTCACACTTTTTCCAATTATTGCCTTTTCAAAATCCTAGTTCACTATTCATTAGCTCATTATTACATTTGGGTCAAGTTTACTGATGTGCAGAGGGTTGACGCTCTCCTTTCTTTTTTTTTTCTTTTTTTTTTTTAAAGAAAATTATTGTAGCATCTGATTTTCCCTTGTCCACCCTTTTTTAACATGTATATGCTCCCAGCATTTTTTGCCCATGAGTATGACCTTCATCTTTGTCCTTTGCATGTACATGAACTCGTGGTTCGTGGCTCGTTAAAATCACACTGACGATACTTCTGTGACACGTCACCTGCAGTTCATCCTTTTTCAAACCTATGATAATTCTGCTGCATTTTTGTATTACATCAATGTGATGTGTTTTGAGTGTGATTTGTGGACTTTACAAATTAAAAACTGAGGTTTGGGGTCTAAGTTCTGCCGTATATGTTTGTGATTATGCATATGGAATTTAAATTTTTAACAGGTTCTGGATAATTGCAACTAGGTCCTTTGGCATTGCCACTCATACAACACATATGGTGCTGTTTACCTTTAAGATTGTGTTTTTTGTTGAAGGTACACAAAGCTGTGATGCTAATTTCATTTAGTATTGTGTTGCCTGTAAAAGTTATGTAATCTTTGTTAATTCATTGCTTGATGTTGGATTACTTAAATTATCTCGGTTTGATATCCATTTCCCTAATTGCCAATTTGCCATATTTTTCTACAGGTTGGTTATTATCCAATTTCAAGACCTTGAAATCTCTTGTTTTAGGCATGCATTATTCCTTTAATGTAAAGTTCAAGCGGTTCTCTATGGGATTTTGTTTGGGGCCCTTATACTCATAGAGGAGAAAACTTTGCTGTCAATTGGATTGTTCTTTTCCCCAACCTTTTTTGTCTTAACTGCAAATCAAGGCAGTTCTTTGCCACGTTAAAAATGTTAATCATCTGCAGATCCAAATTATTATGTTGGTCATCTATAGGCGTCATGTTGCCTTGGTCCTCCTTTGTAGTAATTTAAAAAACATAATAAAGTAAAAGAATTTTAGGTCAATTATCTTTGTTTATTCTCGTGCAGAAGGCATAAAGAAAAAAAGGAGGAAATGGCAGAGCCAGAGGCTGATCCAGAACGGGATCAGAGGACCGTATTTGCTTATCAGGTTACTCATAATTTCTACCTGGTGTACTGTCGTAATATGATGTAACTTCTGTTTGCTTTGAATTTTCTGTCCCCTGCCCTCCTTTATGTGAGTAACTTTCCCCTCTTTTTTCCGAACATGATGGACAGATTTCTCTGAAGGCAGATGAAAGAGATGTCTATGAGTTTTTCTCGAGAGCTGGCAAGGTCAGTACACTCTCATTGTTCCCCTTTTTGCTTGAGTTGTATGATGACGACAAGTGCAAGTCTAACATGAAAATATGTATCACAGAGTGTCTTGGTGGGAATTGTAAATCAAATTACCTCCTTTGAATTTATAAAAACAAACACAACATAAAGTACCAGATGCTCGTTTTCAAAGTAAAATTAAATTCAGTATGCTGCCAAATTAGTTGAGCAAAATCTCCAGCTTCTGTATAAGGGTTAAGCAAAATCTCGTATACTGTCAGCTTCTGTATAAGGGTTAAATTATACATCTCAGGTGAATTAACGGACGATGGGACTTTTTTTTCTTAATAATATAAAATTGAAAGAAGCACCCTGAATTCTTTTGTCTTTGTTTTGTTTTGTTTTGTTTGTTTTGTTTTGTTTTTTTTTTGTTTTTGTTTTTTTGTTTTTTTGTTTTTTTTTTTATCTTGAACCACCCTTGATGTTTGTTTTAACTTTTATGTTGATCTTTCTTTTCAATGTTTTGAGGTGTGTTTGTTACTTTACCTTTTTGTATCTGTTAACAATGTAAGTTTTTGTTTTTTTGTTTTTTTGTTTTTTTTTTAATCTTGAACCACCCTTGATGTTTGTTTTAACTTTTATGTTGATCTTTCTTTTCAATTTTTTGAGGTGTGTTTGTTACTTTACCTTTTTGTATCTGTTAACAATGTAACTCCTCTACGGTATGCAGGTTCGAGATGTACGTCTTATCATGGACCGTAATTCAAGACGTTCTAAGGGAGTTGGGTACGTTTTTATGTTTCCATTAGTAATATTTTTTCTCCCTGTAATATTTATTTAATCACTGGTCTTGAAAGATTGTCAGTTTTTCAATCACCAATTTTAAGTGATCTGCTTTTTCCATCTCGTTTTTCTTGTTTCTTTTAGCACGCATGCTTGAGATGATGTGTGCTACTTGTGATTGTGTAGTCCATGAATACATTGGAATTGACCTTTATGAAAGTAATAAAATGCTAGTATGTTACTCATTCTTTGATCGTCTGTGATCCTAAATTCATAATCATTTGCAGGTATATTGAGTTCTATGATGTCATGTCAGTGCCTATGGCAATTGCACTCTCCGGTCAGCCTCTTCTTGGTCAACCAGTAATGGTGAAGCCATCTGAAGCTGAAAAGAATCTGGTTCAATCAACTACTGCTGTGGCTAGTGGAGCAGGTGGGCTTATAGGGCCTTATTCTGGTGGTGCTAGGAGGCTTTATGTTGGCAATCTACATACCAATATAAAAGAAGAAGATCTTCGCCAGGCAAGCACTTCTTTTCGGGAGTCAATTGCCTAGGAACTGCAGTTGATGCTTTCCACTTGGAAATCTGCACTCCGTTTATTGACTTTCATTTTTTTAAACATCCAGGTTTTTGGAGCATTTGGTCCAGTGGAACTTGTGCAATTGCCTCTTGATGAAATTGGGCATTGTAAAGGTTTTGGGTTTGTCCAGGTGTGTGTAACGTGCATGCTCACAGCCTGTGAATCTGGATTTTAATTTAATTTTTTAAATTAGTTTACAACATGTGCTTTTATTAAAAAGGACAATTCAGTAGATTAACTATACGTGCAAGATATGCACATTAATGACAAATTTTTATTTCATACAACTACAGATAAGCTGCTGTTTCTTGCTTAATTGTTCATAGTGCAGTAAACTAATTTTTGTCTTGCTTGCCTTCCCTCTGATATTGAGGATCAAAGTTACATTGTGTGCTTGAGAACTTCCTTTCTGAAGTATTAATTAACTTGCATTTTCTGCAGTTTTCTCGTCTTGAAGATGCACGAAATTCACTGAGTTTGAATGGGCAATTGGATATTGGTGGTCGAACTATCAAGGTGAGTCTGTTTAGTTCAATGTTAGTAATTTCTTATTTATTTTTAAAGATAGCTGACCTCAATGAGCTTGTATTCAGGTGAATTAGGCTACGCAGTAGGTTATGATTAAGGGGCAGTTCGGCAGCCCAAAATTTGAGTCAAAAACTCAAAAAAAATAACTCGAGTTACAACTTTATTCAAGTTCATGTTCTTTTAAGTTTGAACTCGAGTTTGGGACTAAAACTCGAGTTCAAGTTTCCCCTTCAACTCGAGTTCAGAAACTTGAACTCAAATTAATGAATAGTATTTTTTCTATTATTAAAAATGCTACAACTTTTTCATTTTAATTCTGATTGAGATGATTTTTTTTCTATACGTTGACAACGAAAAGACGAATAAAACCCCACCCATATACTCTATTAAAATTTTCTATCAGCATTGAGTTTTTATTAAAATACTATCTAAATACAAATTCAAGTTTTGACTCACTCAAACACAAACTCAAAAAGATTTTTATCTCAAACCATAACTCAAATGTACACAACCAAACACAAACTCAAGTTACAACTTCAACTCAAGTTATAACTCAAACTCAACTCAAAATCTACACTCAAGTCACCTAACTCAAAAACGGTAAAAGAATAGCCCTTAAGATATTATTTCGGTGTGGCAGTTCGCTGCTCAAAGATTTACTGGGCGAACTACACAAGTTTTGTGTTGTAGTTCAAACCTTTGAAACAAACGCTCAAAATGTTTCTGATTGTTTGAAATGAAATTTGAGAGACTTGCTGCGTTTCCTCCCTACATGTGGTGCTGAATGTTATTTTTGATATGGAGGGGAATTGCCGATTGCTTATGGCATTCTTGAGAGAGGTTTTATAAAGAATTGGAAGTTTTGAGTATGATCTGCCTGACATTTCTTTCATTTTGTTTTTGTTTATTTTTCCTGTTTGTTTGTTTTTAGGTGTCAGCTGTTACTGATCAAATGGGAGCACAAGACCTTGGAGGAAACACCGGTGATTTTGATGATGATGATGGCGGTGGCTTGGTACACAGACTCTTCTTTTGTTTATCTAATTTTAATTAAAAGCAAAATTCAATAGCTTTGCCTTAACAATGTCTGGCTATAGTCATTTTATACTACCACTTAGTCCAAGCATCGCCAAACTAAACTGTTGAAGTGTCGGATGTTTTCATTTCAATTCTAGTTTTCTTTTCATCTTGACCCTACTCAAAAGTTGCTAACATACCGATATGATAATTATCAGGCACTAAATGCACGCTCTCGGGCACTTCTCATGCAGAAATTGGATCGAAGTGGCACTGCAACAAAGTATGTCTCTGCAGCGTGACATCTTCTTCTTTTTCTTTTTTCTTCTCCATCTTACGTGCTTTTGTTGTGATTATTAATCTTAAATGTTTATCTTTGCAGTATTACGGGTTCACCAGGCACTCCTGCTGTTAGCACTGGTCTTGCTCTACCAACAGCACCGATTTTGGGAGCTGCACCTGTGGTGTCTCCCCTTTCTGCTTCTGTAGCTCCTATTCCTGCTCTTGCTGGACTTGGTGGTGCAGGCTTTCAGGTTCCTGCTGTTACTGTTCCTTCCATAGACACAATTGGCGCTCCGAGCGAATGTTTACAACTAAAAAATATGTTTGATCCTGCAGCTGAGGTCAGTTTCTGCCTGCCTTTTTTAAGACCTATTTAATATCTAATTTAATTCTCTGTTACTCGTTGTCTTACATTCATATTATTTCGTGGCAGACGGAGCCAAATTTTGATTTGGATATAAAGGAAGACGTACAGGACGAATGTTCAAAGTTTGGAAATTTACAACATATATATGTTGACAAGTAAGTGTAATAAAAAGTTTCACTTTTTTCTTCCTTCCCCGCAATGCTAGTTTTTGAGTGTTTAGCCAGTCTTTTTTCAATGGAACAGGAATAGTGCAGGTTATGTATATTTGAGATTCGAACATACGCAATCTGCTATTGCTGCACAACGGGCTCTCCATGGGAGATGGTTTGCTGGGAAGATGATTACTGCAAGTTTCATGGTATGTAAAAAAGTGGCGCGCTGCCTCTGGTTTTGTCATTGCTACGTATTACTTCTCATTAGAATTTCAACTCTTAAATGCAGTTACCCCAAGACTATGAAGCTAGGTTCCCCAGCACGTAGGGTTTGTGTAAGATAACAGTTACGCCAGTTGACGGTGGGCTTGTCATCGGCTCCAGTTCCCTCTGTAGTGGTGATACACATTTTTGGAGGGTTTTTTTGTTTCAGTAAAAAGGATGATCAACTCACCAATTTGAAAGCAGGGGAAGAGGTTATGTGAAAATGAGGGCATTTGTTATTACCCAGTTGCACTTTAGAATTTAAAGATTGCCGTTTGTAGACCTATTGCTGCTCCTTTGACAAAGTTGCTCTCGTTGTCAGACTTGATATGAATTCATTTTTGGTAGTTGAGTGCCGCTTCTGTTTAGACCTTATACAAAAAAAAAAAAAAAAAAAAAAAAAAAAAAATTTTTTTTTTTTTTTTTTGTTTT